AATTTCACCTTCAAAATTCGTGAATATTTGTCGGAAATGACACTACGGTTCTCCTTACACACAGGACAGTGGCGTTTCGCGTTTTCCCTGTAATGTATCTGTTTTGAACAAGTGTTCCACCGTCTAGTCCAGGAAACAGTTGATGGCTCCAAATCTGGTCATCAGACCGAACACAACCCCAGATGCAGTTGAAGCTGTCGAGGAGAACAGATACGGTTCCTCAGTTTCGTAATAGCTGTCGACCGGCGCGGGAGGCTGCGAAAGTTAGCGCCATGGACATCGGTCAAAAGAAAAAAGGGGCAGTGTAATGTTTTGTTTTCCACCAGGTGGAAGAAGACTGCAATGTTTTGTTTGGTGACTACTAGACATTTGGCGGTCACTTTAAAATTTATCTGACCCATATACACGAGGGCTGGCCTTCGGGCCCCTCTCAGGCCCATTTGCACTGTCGTCTTTGGAATGCATGTATTCAACCTTACTTATGCCTACTTCCACCCTATGGAAAGCCTCGAGACGCTACAAAGGCAGTAAGTGAAGCTGGCTATATGTATTCCAAAGAGAATAAAGCATCCGAACCAGAGCGTGACCCGAAGGCCAGCAAGCGAGTACAAGGCCAGGCAAATCCCGAAGTGGCCGGCAAACGTTATGTGATCACATAAACAAAGCATTGCAGCATCGTCTTTTACAATATCTAATAAACGCGACCTATCAACCATTGTTAAGCACTTGATAAGCATAAATTTGTGATGGAAATCTATGAACTGGGATAAAATATAAATCTTTATTTGTTGATTTTTAACGACTGTTTCAAATCAATAATTCCCCAATATCTAATTAATAGCATTTGAGAGAAAGCTGACCTTCATTTGCTTTAGTTTCTGCCACTCCTTCTCACACGTCGTTTGTTTCCATTCTCGATCTGCAGCGGGTCCTCTAAAGGATGTCGAGGCTGGCTAAGTGGGTGGCTTCAGCGGCTCCGAAGTATGTTACACGTATGTGCTCGTGCGTGTTCACGCTCGGATTTTAGTTACCTACCGTTACGGAATGGAAAAGGGCCTTCCAGCACTTATTAAATTTTCCAAATATGCCAAAGTAGAATTGAGGCCACCAACGGTGTCCGAACTTACGCCAGCACTTGAAGAAGGCAGATCCATTATCAACTTTTTCAGATCCGGTGCATGGAAGCAAAAAACCGTCAAGGTATGTGGTTTCATCCAGACGAATTGAGTTTCAGGATTTCGCTCTGGATACCGCCGTTGCGATCGAGGTGTTAATGTGGTTCTTTGTCGGAGAAATAATCGGTCGAAGAAGTCTGATTGGATACAAGAAAGTGAAGGGGGCCTATATTGTGTCGCATTAATGTGTAATTTTTATTAGAAAAAAATAGCCATTATTTTCCATATTTTTCATCAACTGATTTCTCCAGGTTCGTTTTGTAAGCTGCTGGCTAATTTCGTAGTTGGGGGCCTAGGTTCTTTTAGTTTGGCATCGCTTCAGTTAAAGCTGTGCCGTCTGCCTTCGGTAGCAAAGTAAATGGATCAATCTGTGCATGCTTCTTGATGTCGTTAGTGAGTCAATCTCGCGCCATCCCTGCATGGTAGGGAAATTGATTTTAAATTCGGCTTATTGTATGCGTTATGTCTGCGTGTTGTTGAAGTCTGGATTTGAGTGGTGCTAGATGTAGTCTCTCCTTGATTTCGAAAACGCACCAATTGGATACCTGTTCTCGGATTGACGGTATATGTCAGCCTTTTTTATTATGAATCCGCTGAGGCTACAAGAATATCCGGTCGTGTCAGATATTGTTGGACTTCTCAGCTTTCTTTTGACGAAGGATCCGACCGCTTTATGACATTTGCGATGGGAGTCGGATTGTGCCTAGTCATAACCCTACTTCTGTGCAGTTGTGTTAGGGTCTTGGAGGAGGTTCACCTGAGCTTTTCGTGTACGTTTGTTTCTCTCGTCTGGAATTTTTATTTTAATCCGGCTCCATAAGCATGGAGCACGACTGTAAATAATGCCTACTTTTACCTGTATAAGTACGCGTTGTGGTGCTGCCATTTTTGTTTTCAAACGTTATACCCTGCACGTCTTTCGAGTGTTACGTTCTGAGTGAATGCCGCTTGGTTCTGGCTGACCCTTTTTACGAGTTTCTATTACCATATTCGTCATTCCGTCTTAGATTCTGCTGTAAATTTGAAGAACTTAATCTAATTTGACGAAACTGCGACACTCCTACCAAAAGCTTTCAACAAGAAACATTTTACTGGTAGTGTATGGCTGTTGGTTAAGGACTTTAATACACCATTGATTTAGTTCCATTGCAGGCAGTCGTCATTTTCATCTAGCTTTCCTCAGTTTCTGCAATGGTGGTGCTTTTGTATTTTACGGTCCTACGATTTTAAAGGTCTGTGAGGATGTTGCACAAGTTTTACCCCACAGACGCGGATCGGAGTCAATATAACTAGACCGCCATTAGTAGTTGCAGGCCTAATTGGCTCCTCTTGGAATTCATCTGATTAACTCTGCCTGCGAGTTGGAACACATATTTGAGCTTGTAGACTAAGGATTTATCAGTTCGCCTTGGAGCTGTGGTCTATCATATTGCGATTACATGTTTGGCCTTTGAGAGTTGTATACCATCATGATATCAAGATGAATGGCTAAAAAGATGGAATAAACTGGAATGACCTGGTGACAGCAGGAAGGAAGAACCGTTTGTACAGGTGTGGGTGTGTGTGAATGCTGAATTGATGTGACAGGGTGACATTCGCCAGAGCAATCGGTGAAGCTTGTCCATAATGATCCCTATGATTTTTCAATGTTAATGCAAACGAACCGTATCAAACCAGTAGTTTGAATCAACGTTCTTCTAGGAAAGGGAGACTTAATGAAGAGGATCTCCAAAGGTCTAAAACGTTAAGGGTAGCGCTTATCTCGAGCTCGGAATTGACCTTTGTGTTCCAACTGAATTGTATATGAAACCAGTCATCCAAATGTAGTACTCGAATTTTCCCTAAAAAGATAACTGTAAAGCTGGTTTGTGGTAATCTCTCAAGGGTCTCCAAAGACTCATTACACAGCTAATACGGCCTGAACCAAACGATACCACCTCGAAGGCTGAACTGTGAGAGATGTGAATTTCAAAGCATGGCGTTAACACTAAGACAATTTCACGGAAGGGTTTAATGAAGTCTTAGAGGACGCCTGCCGAGCACTGCACACACGCACCCTCTACTGAACTGATAAAAAGAAGAACAACTCCCTACAAATTGAATCGCAGTCTGTTGGCGTAAGTCTGATTGTGGAGCAACCTTCCTTCTCGATTGAGGGTCTTTGTCTTTTTTTTTCTATAAACAGCAGAAATGGTGTCCGTCGTCCGTCGGTCTCTGTGGTAATTTGCAAAGTCTTCGTCCTTGAAGTATCAACCGCTGTATCGAACGATCGGTTTTTCATGTCACGTAGGAGCATCTGTTTATCACAATTTTTTGGTGCAGCTTCGCCACCAATCCACTGGTCCCTCTGACATCTAGAGGCACAGGTAGTCTGTGGTCACCACTCCTCCCTTTTGCATGGTCGAACCTGCTATTGAAGCCTAGCCACTTTAGAAGGTCTTGGCTTCTCCTCCGAGCTTCACGTGCACTAAAAGTCGCTTGCTTGGGCCACATTTGTTGCTGTCATTTAGTGAACTACCTTCAGTATCAATGAGGCCTTTCTTCTGCCGACTTCATCTTCTCATTCTTTACATCACTTTCGCTGGAGAATTCGAAGCGCCTTCTTCTAAAGGGTGGTAAAGATTTCCACTTTCCAGAATAGGTTATGGTCGATGAAAAGGTCATCAAAACTGGTATTACTGTGGGTGGTAGTTAAAGATGGAATGTGGAATTCTGCAAATGTATGGAAGGAATCCCCATTACACTTTAAAATGACTGCTTCTCTGCTACAAATTATCAAAGGCAGTTCAAAGTGACCATTTTGAAGCATAACAGTAGGTGTACTTCACAGAACCTTTAACGTAATGGAAGTCACAGTGTACTCCCTAAGGGACGGTTGCGTTGCCAAGCCAAAGGCACAAATGGAAATGTGTGAATGTGACATCAGTGGCCTTACACCTCCTCAAATGCCTGCCACTTTAGGCAGTCCTCAAGCCCTCCAAAATTGAGAGCATGACTGCAAATGATAGCGAGGCTACTTGGACCAGACTGCAAATAAATTTTGCCAGCATTAGAGAATCCGCCGATAAAGTGCGAAATGTATCAAAGAATGGATGGCTGGATAAGTAATTTACATTGACTTCGTTTCCTTTAGCTGTCCACTCCCAGACGCATCACGATGTTACACTCAGTGGAGCAGTAGTAGGTGACAAGGAGGAGATAAATGTGATCAAATAGCATCTTACTTGTATTTCAATAACATTTTGTCGGTCATCAGCCAAAGTTAATCTTTTGATGCAATTGACACAAGGCACCAACTCTTGATTCACTGCAATGACATGCTATCAACCATAATGTCTAAACTAATGGCAATCACAAATGGCGGTGACCCCAGCAGTAGAGGGAGTCTTGAGAGGTGAAACTAAAAGCCAGAGAATTTACAGTATTCTGGAGAAGTTGGCGCCTCTTGTTCTCACCACCAATAACAGCAAAGACGGCAGCGCCTAGAAGTGCACTGAGGACACCCACAGAACCTCCGCATGTGGAGGAGTTTGAGGCAGAAAGATAAAATTTGGCTCCAATAAGTTCATACGGAGTTCAGAACGTGTTACAAATCTGCACAATACCCATGACTGGAGGGAGAGTGAAGGGATCAAGTCACTGCCAAGAGATTGGTGCAATCTTGTTCCCAATATCTTTTAGCCCAAACTCAGAAGTCGGATTTGACCTAATTGACATACTGCAACCTCGCCTGTTGTAGTGGGTAACCACATCGAATTTTTTTCTTCGGTTCACCAGCCTCGAGAGGGGCATTTTGTGTTTGCTTTGAGACGACGGTGAGCTCCTGCCCTTCCTCGTGCCAAACCGTCTTCTGCACATACTCTAACATGTACTCGTGCTGTTTGATTTGTGGCTGACGGCTTAAAATGCTTTCGAGGCGATGCTATTTCAAATCATCTTCGCTTTCGAACTTCACCTTCGTGGTTTCACGCAATTTTATCTAGCGACCGCTCTATCAATGTGCATCCGCTGGCATTGTTGCCAGCCGGTGGACAGGTTCGGCGACAATCAGACCCTTAACATTGTCTTGAATGGCGTACAAATTCCTTTGATCTCTGATGGCCTATAAACAATCCTTTGTACACTGAGTGGTAAGCCATGGCCAAGTGGAAACAAAATATTTTATAATTTCTAAGTGTAACTTGATTCGTGTTTCCACATTGTTTCAATAATTGAAATGCGATGCAAGTTCTGTATTTCAGCAATGCCCATTCGTAGTACGAAAATCTGAATTATTGAAAGGTCATCTTGAAGAAATGAAGTTAATAGGACTTCTTCATTCGGTTTTCCCGAAGTTATGTCCAGACCGGGAGGACTGAGTGAAGCCAGGTGGGCCACCTGACGCGCAAATCAAAACATCTCCTCCCGTTGAATTGCATTTTCGTCCTCTAACCGACTGTCAACAGACATGTAATACTGATGGCAACTTTTGAGCACTGTTGAAACGGTGGCCGAGTCATTTAGCTCGGATTTAAAGGCGTCGTACATGTGCCCCCTTTGGCTACCGGTCTACAAGCGGTTTGGGCGTAGGTCAAGAAGTTTCCCCACCTTCTTTTGCGGCCAGTAAGGTGTCATTCTTACCCTTAGAACCTAACTTTAACGATAGGATTGCATCGTTAAATTACAATGCTAAATTACTTGTACTATTTACGAAACGTGCATCAAACACAATGTGGCCACCAAATACAAAGCATTTTAGGGCGCCTCAAGTGCAGCTAGCATAAATTGTGGCCAATGCAAGTTGCCATAGTGAGAGGAAGGCACGGAGACAGGGTTTGGATCCTCCATCAGGTTAAATGTTTATTTCCTCCAATCTTCAGGTCACGGCTCTAGGGCGAAAGGGTTGCGTGCAAAGTGCACAACTCAAGGCCAAGTTGTGCACACGCACACAAACACAAGATGAAAAATGTGAAAATTTCTTACGATTGCCTTCACCTAACAGTTTAAAGGGCATGAGCATTAGTATTGTAGAGGCCAGGGTAACTGCGTCGAACTCGTGCAAATGTCTTTTCTAATTCACTTGTCTTGTAGAAGGTTTCCAAAAGTGTTAAAGCCCATAAATGGCATCAAACAAAGGCGTTTTAATTCGCAATGTTGACTTGCCATGTCTTTCATTGTCAGGCGAGGGGGTGGTGAAGCTGATCAGCAGCATCTGCAAGGGGCTATAAGTTGCCTTCATACTGTCATGCAAAGAGGAAGATTCCCGTTGAATTGGTGCGTAGGTGGAATAATGCCTTTAAGAAGTGATGTATTCCCTGGAGGTTATTTTCATTCCATTCCCCACTGATTACTTCATACTTTGTTACCATCATGAAGCATAAAACAGCCGTTCAAATGCATCAGGTAGAGCGCAGCACAGTAGGTTAAAGGGAGGATGGATGGAGCAGTAGCAGTCCGGATTATCATAGTTTTACATTTTTTGCAGCACATGCAATCTTTAGTGGAGGAAGTTGATCTCCTTTCCGCAGACCATCTTCCTTCTAATATCACCAAGTCTTAAGTATGAGGGGACAAGTCTTGAGGGAATCACACAATCCTGTGAGTTGTCATCCTCAAAATTTGTTTAGGAATATCATCATGGCATCCTTCTGAAGACATCTCACGGCTTAAAAATAACCACATCCGTTTGCCAGGCTTTTACTACTAAGATCGCCTCTAATCATTCGTCCAACTCGCAACAAGTAAGCTCACAAACGCTAGAGGCAAAAGGGTAGGTCAATCTTGGGGCAAATGTTGTGGGTCATGGGCAGAACATCCACATTCATCCTTGCAATTTACTGAGCTTCTTGATGAGAAGAGGATCTCAATGCACATTCAGTGATTGCAAAACTGTTGGCTTGCGACAAGAGCTAGTTGGTTAAGCAAACAATTTGTTGTCTTCATGTGTCGGTAATAAAACTGTTTCACTGTGTCCTTAAACACCGATCTTCCAGGTCTTTTCAGTGTGATGATGTACTCCGGTAGGAGTAGAATTTTTAAAATGTTGCTGTTGTGAAGGCTACTTCCTTCATACTTGGCTCACATTGACACCACTGACTAAGGTGATCGTCTTATTCTCAAACCAACTCGACGACTTTTTGAAATGACGCACAGGCTCACGTCCAACTCCTTCTCCATCACCACTCCCAATCCTGCATTGTTGCTCTAACCAAAAGCTTTCCTTAAAAATATGTTTAAGCACATTTTACAACAGAAGAAAATAATACCTAGCATAAATATGCATAAAACGCCCATAAAGGCGGTTACTCGGCCTCCAATCCCACCAAGTTGGGCCATCTTGACCAGACCAATTGAACCAAAATTATCTCCCTTTCCCCACTCCATCTCTTACTTTCATTGTGAAGTTGTCAACTAGACAAAGCCATTGAACAGAGTCTTGCTTGACTTTACAATGTCAAATAATCTGCATAAAAATGAATCCATTTATGCCCCAACTAAGG